GGCAAGCGGCAGGCGGGCATCTTGTGAGCGATAACGCGTTCGTTGTTCCGGCCGACGATAACAAAAACTCGTAAAGAATACAATGCGCCGGTTTCTAATGGACGGATTCTATTGAAACACTGGTTTTTGTGTAAAACACTCGAATAGAGTTCGAGCAGAAACTGCCTCCGCTATGATTTCTACAGCGATTCAGTGTGGAGTAGACATTCACACGCATTACTTGTGCTTCTCACACGCTGAATGTTCCAGTATCTACGAGTTGCCGCCTACTCGGTACATTCCTGCTAAATTTATGTTAGCCGCCATTACAAAATGCCATTTTTGTACCCAATGAGCAGCAAATGCTAATAGAATACGGCCAGTATGAATAACTCCAAGATCACCACCACAAATAAATGGCAGATAACAACCAAATATAAACTTTATTATAAATTAAGTAGCCATTTTAGTATGAATCGGTAAATTAATCAATTGGTTTAAAAATAATTCATAATACTCTTTTTTATTAACATAACGGATACTTGGGAAGGCACACGCCTTTGCTGAACATGTTTTAACTTTACGGGAAATCATTCAAGCTATGAGTCTTTCATAGTGTGATAATAAAAGTACAACCGACCGCGAAACAAAGTGAAATTCTTCTATGTACCTATGTTGATTGTGTAACAATATTAAATATATACACTTTCTAAGACTTTACAGAAACTACTTCTGTGCTTTACGAATATGTATTGCGATCATCTAAGCACTGTGCGTGTGTGTGTGTGTGCCTATCGTGTGAACTCTCAAGTTTCCGTATTCATAAAAGATTACAAACATCCGGATTTTAGAGCTGTTATTCTTTGTGGAATAATTCCAATATATTTATGCCATTATTAAAATTAGCAAAAACTTTCACTTACTACGTATTGCATTTTACATTTAAAAAAATCATAAATAGATAAAACCTACAATCAGATAGTTTACCGGAAACTCGTCTTGAAATACGGTAATGCCGCAAAGTTGTTTAAGACAAGTTTCCGGTTGCAAAATTTCTTCCGTGTACATCATGTTTATACACGTAATAGTATAATTAGTCGAATATATAAAACAACTACATAATATGGAGTTTATCTTGATATTTGGTGATGATCAAGTCTCGCGCAGTGCGCAGCTCGTGCGGCGCGGCTTGTGTTATGCAAGTCTACTACCAGCGCTTAGGAGAAAATATGTCCTATTATAGTTCAATAACTTTCCATTGCACATTTGCTAGCGAGAAAACAAGTTGCGTTGTGAGTAAGGCTGGCACATAGCAGCGGCTCACTAGTGCAGAAGTGCGGCGGCAAGGCAGTAAGACGGGCGAGGCTCACCATCCACTGGAGGCAGTCGAGGCAGCCGGTCTGCGCGGCGGCGTGCACGGGCAGCATGCCGTCGCGGGCCCGCGCGTCCAGGCGGCCGCCCGCCTCCAGCACGAGGTACTGCAGCACGGCCAGGTGGCCCTCCTGCGCCGCCAGGTACACCGGCGTCACGTCGTTGTCCATCGCCGTGTTGGCGCTGCAACACAACACAAAACAACACTGAACACTTTTGTCTTTCTTAACCTGCAGTCGAAGCTTTTCTTCCTGCATCCGGATACAGATAAATATTTATGTGTATTAAATAATAACAGTTAACAATATGTACATATTATATGTGTAATGCAACGATTTGAATTTATTTTATTACTAGCTGTTGCCATGCGGCTTCATCCGCGGGTAATTATAAAAACTTTATTTTATCGTTCACTTTTGTCAATTTATCATTTGGAAATGTCAAAATGACATGACATTATAACAATCCATGGCAATCTTGATACCTTGATGTTGGCAGCAACTTATGGTCTCTTCCCTTCATTAGGTCTTTTATCCAATTTACCAACTAAGTTTAATAGCGTGAAAATATATAACCTAAAGCGTGATCTAAGTGTAGGGTTTTTTATTAAGAAAATAATTATTTAAAAAATATACTGTAATTGCTGTCATTTTAGGCAACAAAGAATTGTGTTTTTACGCTTCATTATATTAGTAATGAAGTATATATAGTATAGATGAATTTTACACATGTCGGCAACATTTTAACTGTGCCCAGTAGCACCGAATGTGAAGGTGTAATAGAGGTCGCTGATACGCTGTTTTATAAGGTAACTTTGCGTTGTCTTACAACTAATTCCATGCATAAAATTATTCACAATTCTTGAATTTATTAGTCTTTAGACTGAAAATAATTTAGAATAGGAAATTTCTTTTTGTACGATAATAGATCATTACGATAATAGGTCAGAGATAGAGACAAAAGTAAATATAGTATCCTGGTCAAAGACTTGCAAGATGTGATCAAGACCTAATGCGCCGGCCGCTTTGGTTACACAATCACAGTCGCGGCTCGCAGCCGAGCGAGTTATCTTGGCTGCAGCGTGCGGGGGTGTGCGGGGGGCGCGCGGGGGGCGGCCGCTCTCACGTTTCACTTTTATTTTCTCGAATGGTTTTCACTCTCGTGCGGGCGCGGCGACCTGCGGCGGCTGCGACCTCACAGCTAACGGTCTCAAGGTGAACCGACAAACTATTCCATTGACAACATCTAACGTAACTTACCCATCTTCTAACTTATTATTCGGAGATTCTAAGCAACGAATGTTTTATAGAATTCTTGCATATCGATTACATGTTTCCCTATAAGAATTCACTCACAGACGGAGTTCCACAGATGTGGCGATTAACCACAAATTTTTATACAATTTGAACTGAACAGACTCGGCCTCGTCTCGGTAATGAAGATAATAGTGAATTTAAAGAAACCATCGAATAAGGAGTGTGACGTGACGTGTGACGTGCGACATCCAGAAGACTCTCATCATCCACTTGCCCTTATCCCTTACGGAGGGTCGGCACAGTATGTGCTGCTCTTCCATACATCTCTATCAGCCGTCACATCTGAATCCACTCCTTTTTAAAGCATATCCACTTTCACACAATCCATCCATACTTACACTTACTTACATTCAGAAGACTCTAGCAACCTGAAAATGCAATCTCAAGCGTTACGTAGTCTAGAGCATTTTTAATTCATTTCCTTAAGCTTAATGTATTGAATTTCTCAAGTAGACTAATGCGTGCGTTACGAAATGTAAGTGCATAACACAGGGCGACCGCCGCGGGCTCTTTTCAAAGCCTTCACTGTTGAGAAGAATGGTTGTTGTTGTTAAAGCAATACACTTTGGTAATCGGAAGTTAATGTAACGAAATTTGTAAACTAGGTCGAGGCGGGTGTTTGATAACAGACGTAATATATAATTGTAATACGTAAATAATAAAGCACTCTCAGTACTTAGTTGTTGTAGCTCAAATAAAACGTATTTACGTTTATGTAGATTAGATTAGATTTTAAATTGGCGGCCCCCGCCGCTCGCCGTCACCCGGCTCTGCGCGGGCCGCACTCAATGTGTCGCTTCAAAAGACTTCAACGAGTAACATCCTTGGATTCGAGAGACTTATTAGTGTTATGCCCAAATGTTTCTATATTGATATAGTTACACTAGATGCGTTCCGCGACTTTTGCAGAGTTTTATCCAAGATTAGAAATATCGGGCAACATTTCTGCTGACACTTTGTTTGTGACCACAATGACTACCAAGTAAGAGTTGACAATTTAATGAAGAAACGTTACCGCCCCCTGCCGGCGCCGGCGCAGGATGCAGTTTTAACCTTCTGGTATCTGTTGGTCTTGTTGCCCTTCTTGCCGAACAGTTTGTTTTTGCCGCGCGCGCAACGCTCTATGTTGCTCAGGGTCATTGTGGAAAGTCACTCGAAACATTCAAAGACGAAATTAAAAAATAACTAACTTTCACATAGAACCACACGATAGAACGTAAATAAGATGCGATGCGACAAATGACGAGCACGTTTTGCTTAACAAAAGGAGAGTCATTGTACAAGAACGGTCTGTTTTTAGTTTACTAATTCACACTGAAAACTGAATGTCGCGACAATTATCGACATTTGAAAATAGCCATGGAGTACAAGTAACGCGCGCGGAACTAGCTCGCGTCTCCGCAGAACTGCGCGTGCGGCTCGCGGCGCCGCGTTGCGGGGCGGGGGCGGGGGCGGGGAAAGTTGCCCCCGGGCCGCGGGCGCAGCACGCCGCACCACACCGGGTTTTTAACCATTACAATTTCTATTCAGTAACAGCCCGTTTTTAATAGTTAAAAAATAAAAAAAAATTATTCATGTAAGCTAAGAAGGCTCGCTCGTCCCACAACATGTTGCATATCTCTGCTTCTCTCGTGATACTCCAGATGCTGTCCACATTTGACCAGCTAACCCAGCTCGAGAAGTAATGCTCAACTAAAATTATGTCAAATAAATCTAAGTAAGTAATAAAACTCTAAGTAATAAAATTAAACCCGTTTTTAAGTGCAGTGGCAAAGTCCGGCATTGAACACCTACTACATAACAAATGAGTTAAATTTTTGTTTTTCTCAGAACAATGTCATACTACCGTATCATCATTAAAGTATACTGATGGCGACCTCGCCGTTATGTAATACGTATTTACGGATCTTATATACATATTTATGTATATCGAGGTATTAATGAGCTCGTAATGGCATTCATTATAAATCTACTTTCTCGGAATCTTTCTAAGAATCGGCACAATTGATTACATCACCCTAGTTGATATTATCGATAAAGATAAAGATATGTTAAATTCACAGTGAGTGCGGTGCGGGGTGAGGCGGGGTGAGGCGAGGTGGTCTCGGTGCGCTCAGAGAAAACATTGCAATAATTACGCGTACCTTTTCTTCACGTATTTTCCCAGCGTTTCTATCAGACACTAGATGGCACTGAAAGAAATCCGCCCATTGTAAGGTAATTAATTACAACAAAAACAAAACAGAAAACGCTATCGATTCGTATTATGACCAATTAATTTGGTATTAACTTATTGTTTTGTTTTGAATGTTTTTCAGTGTTTGTTAAGTTTACATTGACTAAAGAAACCCTTGACCGCGATCCCGTCCGATGGTGAGTGTCGATGTCGGCAAGTGCGAACTAAATCAAATTACTAAACCTAACTGTTGACGGCGCACTTAGGCTTTATTTAATATAAAGTTCTTAAATTTTGTGCCGATAAAGTTGCACGCAAAATCCGGTATATTATTATGTAATCAAATATCAGGATCGGATCAACCACAAATTATATTAACGCCATAATCGTGAATTATACAATATAGTACAGAATTCTAATGATCTAGAAGTTATCTTCGTAATGTCGTGCTGTATATGTGCTAATGTATGCAGAAAGTTGTGTGCTGGCCAGCGCGCCGCCAGCTGCCATTCAGATCGGAACGCAACAAAACAACACCGCAACCCGCAACCCGCAACTGACGCTATCTCACGATAATTAATCTGTAATAGCTGGATGGTGATCACCATCGCCGCCAGAGAACTGCACAAATCCCGTTACAAGGAAGTATAAATATGTTTTGAAATATAATAATAAAAATATATCCTTAAAAAAGACTTAAATGAAAATGGTCTAAAACAAAAGCCATTAAACAAACAATGTAATTGCCTATTTATTCTTATTTCAATAACGATATGTTTGACTTGGGGGTTGTTAAACGTTTTACTGAAATGGAATCGCAACTTTCAGAGGCAGAACTTGTGCCGCGGCGGAGGACAGCTTACACAAAATGTACACGTTCGTCATCCGTACACTTGATGCGGGTGCAGAGCTGTATCTCATCTCAGCGGTAGTTTACAACTTGGAGTAGCACGACCGGAAAATTATGTCAATATAATTATTAACTGTGAATCTATCTGTGCTCATGTGTTTCTCTTGCAAACGGGAAAGTTATTACCTATATTGCGACGGCACACTTTATATGAGCGGTGCAACAGTACGACAGCAGAATGTAATGGCGCGTAATTACTCTGTGGCAAGCGGTAAGCGGCAAGCGGCGGAATGCGGCCGCGCGGCCACGGACCAGCCGCAGCACACGCTCCTTCTAATGGCGTCATGTGAAAATGATTATTGCAATTTCTCTTGAAGATACAGCGACAGAGACGCGGCGAGTACTGCTGCCGCGGCCGGACGTACGGCTTATAGTAACGTTTAATACAAAAAACAATACATCAAAATAACAAGTTTTCGAATACTGGCACATAATCCAAATAATGAAAATGTTACGATGGATGACACCATTGATGTCACAAAAATAATATATTTAGTTGCGTAGTAAAACTGTAATTAGATTTAGTAGCTGATTAAAGCATGTAGGCAGTATAGTTGAGGTGAGAAAAGGTTTGAGCGCTACGCGAACTTCAAAAAGTTTTCAGCACTGCCCTACCTGAGGGTGCTGGCAGCCGCTACCGAGGACGCAGGCGCGGAACGGCACTGCTTTAGGCGGGCGGAGGCAGCGCGCAGAGGGCGCTCGCGTCGTTGACAAGTCGCCATCTTGCTTGCGTTATCGCATTTACATTACACTTTTTTCTTGTTCGCTTTTTTTAATATGATATCACTTCACTTGCACTGCAGCAGTCGCAATTAATACCAAAACTATTCGATGCATAACAAAACTTTTGTTCTAAAAAAATAACTAAAATTGTATAAATTATAATGTAACATAGCTGGTTAGTAAGTCAGTTCTTAGTAAGACAGAGAATCTACAGCTTTAGTATATCCTTCTACATTTTTAAATCATGAACTACTAATGCATATTATGTATGTATGTACGTCACGAATTAGAGTAGATTTTGACAAAGATTTGTAACGATTCTATCGACCGCAGTCAGTTCGCCCAATAAGATATAGTAAAAGGAAAACTAAGTTTATGTTATATACGAGTATAAGGGAACTGTATTAAAATATGAAGGCAATAATGTAAAATCACGACTTAATTCTAAAGATATAAGCCACTAGAAGTGGCAGGAGATGTAATAACTCAACTAAAAGCTTGTCGATCGTAGACGCGACGCTACAGTTGCAGCCGAAACTGCGCGCTCCGGCACTCGCGGCCACTCGCCGGCGCACGCGCTGCGCACTGAGCCGACTGCGCCGCACCGCGCCGGCACCTGCGCGCACCTGCGTCCGACTGCTCTTTATTAAAGCCTCGAGCGCAGTCATAAGAAAAGCGAACGTGATATTTATTTTTAAAAACCTTTGTTATTTTGCTCTTCAAATACTTCAAAACGTAACGTGCTATTTGTACTTTGGTATCCCGAACCGAATTCAAACTGACGCTATTGAAGGTCGCGCGCCTGATACATCATAAATACGCGACATCGACACGTAATATGTTATTCCGTCTTTGCTTCCTGAGGCCAAACAGTAAGCCGTTAATATAACTACTTGAAACAAAGTTATTAACTAATTGAAGTTAATATTTAGAAATCGTCCGCTGTCGGCGACCACTGTGAGCTGCGGTTGCGACCTACATATCCGCCTACCCTACACCATTTGAATAATCGTGTTCTTAATGCTCTGTTTAAATTATTTTCCCGGAAGCTTTCGACAAATTCTATAATCGATCTAACATCTCATTTATAAGAAAGTAAGTACGTGAGTTTAATTCAATATACTCCATGAATTTAAATAATATATGAAAGAGAGAAATAGGAAGGTTTATTGTATGGAGGTGCGCAGCCACGACCTCTTCCAGACATCAATATTCGCAAGCGATCGGAGTTTTGTTGTAAATCTACGAAGCGAACGCGATGTGTGCAACCGCGAGTGAAGCTTGCTGCCGCTTGGGCTCGCCTCAGTCGCTCGCCGCAATTAATTTCGTAACGCTTTCTCCGCGCGCGTGCGCCTCTACTGTCGTTATTGTTTAAGAAGTTAAAAACTCATATTATCTGAATAAAAAAAAGACTAGTAATGTTACTATGGGTTAAGTGTTGTGATAATTATTGCTTCGATTAATATTATATACCAATGCAAAAAGTGGTCGTTTATTTGTTAATACAAATTGATTCTAAAAATTATTTATGTTACAAATCGATAACCTAAGTATAGTAATTTTGGCATATTTTTTTGTTTTAATGTAACCCCTGAAGTGATGAGCGCCGAGTGACTACGACCACGGATAACTGTAACCGCTGCGTGCGCCGCAACAACAAAAACTACAGGCAACAATATTTCTTTTCCGTGGCCGCCGTCGCCGCCGCTCCACAGCGCATGCTTATGGCGCGTGTCGGTACTTAACTACTTAATGCAACTGTTATCAAATACAGAATACATATTATGTTCAATGATTTGAAGAAACTGTTAGCTTTTATCAACAACTAAATATAAATGTAATTGCTAACTTCAACAACACAGCATGCAGCAGGCAACATGCAGCATGCAGCGTACAGCGTGCAGCATGCATCGTGCTGCAGTTGCAGCAGGTGGATGCGGAGACTCACTTGACGTCCGGCGTGGTGGTGGCCAACAGGCGCACGCAGTCCAGGCAGCCGCGCGCCGCCGCGTAGTGCAGCGCCAGTGCACCGCCCGGCATGCCGGCCGAGCCTGCGCCGCGCTCCGCGCACCCCGCCCGCACCCCGCTCCTGCACAAACACATCTCATACATTCGCACCTGAACTGTTATTACTATACATACGTTTATTTACACTACTAAAAATAAGTTGTTTTATCCCTCTTAGCACTATAAATCTCTTTACGTCAAGTCAAGTTAATAATCAGTAAGTGAAAGCGACAACATTTAAAGGCTCCAAAAATAGCAAACGCACCTGAGATAATATTTTAAATTTAAAACCTTTAAAATAAATACATTGTAAACATTGTTCATTTGTTTAGATTTTACGGTAGTGTTCGGCATCCTCGAGCAAAAGACATCAACGCGCTGCCGGAACGCCATCTACCATTGCGCGACATTAAACCTGTGCAGGCGCAGACGTGTGACTAGTTGTTGTTGTTGTTGGCCAGCAGGTGGCGGTAAATCCATTTCAGTCAAACAATATTACGTGTATACAATTACATTACATTGTACAATATGCAATGTCACTGATAATTGTGTGTACTCGTCCTTAGAGTTTCGTTACCTAAAAATATTGTTTCTCAAACCATTCCAGTCGAGCTCGAAAAACTTATGCACATTATGGTTGACATTAGTGGAATGGCGGCCGGGACTCGTACTCACGACCGCTGTAGATAGTAGTCAGTAGCTTAACGCGGGAGCTATTACTGATTTTTTACTATCCTGTGCTAATAATTTAATCATAAACGAAGTGCATCTGTAATTTCTCTGATATTGCGGATGAGGGCGTGGCGAATTACTAATGCGTAACTTACTAAGCTCGTGTCATTAACACGGCGTTATTGTTCGTTATGCGTCGCGCATGGGACACGGCGACACACTGCAACACACTGTGACACACTGTGACACACTGTGACACGGGCTACACAGCAGTAATTGACACGGGGTCATTCGGCAGCGCTCATGCGTTGTGTCAGCCCGCAGCGGCATTGTCTTCTGCCTCAGTGTTTACGGTCAACGGTCGCGACGTGAGTCAGCGGACATTCCCACCCAACATTTTAGTTTTTTGACGAGATAATGCTATCAACACGCTTCGACTGCACCGTCTGTGTCCAGAATACAAAGAGCTAGTTTTTCTCCCCTGTATCATTGTTTGTGTAAAGTGCAAATCTAGTTATTATGTGATGTTATAATATGAAAAAATGAAAAAAAAAAAACATTTAGCAGGACAATTTTAAATTTTCACTACAATTATGCGAACTCATAAATTACCTTAAAGTTTATTTATTTAGGTACTTAAGAAATGTCCTACTTCTGTTAATTGTCTAAGATACAAACCTAAAATTCCCAGCGCGCAGAGCAACGTGCAGCGTGTCGACATCCTGCGCGTAATCGTGGCATAAAGTGAGCGCGGCGTTGCGCGCCTCTAGCACGTCGCCCCGCATCCGGCTTGCGCTGTCCCGCGACCGCGACCCGAAGCTGGAGGATTCCGGGGCAGGCCGCGGGAATCGCCGCGCCGGCACCCCCGCGCACATGGCCTGCACGCCCTGCCCCAGTAGCCGCTTTCTCACATAGCGACGCATGCGCAGCGACAGCATGACGCGGATCCTGATGTGCCGCTTGATATTGCCGTCGCAACGGATCTCCTCCCTCAACTTCCCGTCGCCCCTGTTACCGACAAGGTCGGGCGGCCGCCCGAAGTATTCAATATTGTTGTTCTTCCATGCCTTACTGAGCGACCAGTTCTCGCCGCACGATGAGCTCTTTCCCAAATGTTTTATTGGCTTCTCATAAACGTCCTCTTCGAAGGCCAGCATGCGGCGCGACATGAGGAAGTTATCGATGTTTCTCTTCATCGTATCATCTTCGGAGCTCGAGGTCGTCGTGAGAAAGTGGACGTTCGATAAGAGTGCGTCTGTAGACATCGCTTTATCGCATTTGAGTGTCGGTGGCTGGGGGCGAGGGCGTTTGTGTTTACGTCTCGCAATGGCCACAATTCGCTTTCTGAGGGTAGCCATGTTGGTCAGCTCTGTGTTGAGAAAGGGGCCCCTGCGCTCGGCCGCCAAGTCGGGCGTCATGTCAGGCGACCAGGCGCCTTGCTCCGCGCAGCTGCACAGCTCTCTCAACAGGCGCCCGATCGTGTTACAATCCTCCTTAGATCTTCCTTTAGACATTTTTCCATATTTCCAACAGAACTTCTTTTTGAGTAAGCTTGTCATTAAAATCTATTTCTTAAATATAAAAACATAAAGCGTTGTAGTATATTTCGAGAAGAGCCACAAAAATGTACAAATGCGTAAGATTGAACAAAAAACACTCCGTTTCTAGTTCGGAAATCTACGATTTGCATTTATTTTACACGAGTCTTGTTTTCACTGGCGAGATGTCCCCCTCCCTCCTCGACACTGGCAGGTGAGTGACTTTTCAACCTAACAACAACATTATTCTCCTATGTTTTACTCTGTGAATAGCACAGGTGGTCTGTAATATGTGATTTTAATACTTATGGTGGTATTGGTAAAATTACTCCGTTTCATGCAATAATTATTGTGTGTATTATTCCAAGTATAACATATTTTGTGTTTATATTCAATAATGCCGGAAAGTGTAAGTCACGTTAAGTATGTTTAGCGACGCGACGATTTTAATTAAAAGAGTTAGCGTGACGTCACGATATTGTAATTGCCCGCCAAAAGGCTTCCGCACGAGAACGGTGCACCTGTCACCTGCTCCCGCCGCGCCGCGCACGGAGACTGAACGTCGGATATAATATTATTATCAAGTATGTAAAGGTATGTGAAACCGTCAGTACAACGTAAGTGTATGGAAGTTTCCTGTTGGGAGCATTACCTCGCTACAAATATATGTATAACACCGCCGCGTCGCCGAGAGCGTGTCGTCACCAATTACTCGTCGTGAAGTACAGTAACAGACGAGTGTTAAAGCAAAACACTTTCTATTTCAGCGCGAGTCCGCGAGCTGCAGCTCACCAGACGCGATCGCGTACTGTCGACAGCCGTCACACATCATATTGTTTATCTACCTTTAGGGCGTGCAATTGTATTGTCTTTGTTCCGTTATTTTATATTTAAGCAAATAAAGTTATTGTTTATACTCGTATTAGAGTCGTAGCTTTCGCCCGCATAGAATTAGAAATAATAAAATTAACTAAACTATGTGTTCTGTCAGACTATCCTCTACATCTATGAGAAATTGCGAGATCCGTTAAGCAGTATAAGCATACAACATACAACTATACCAGATTTCAATGTTTAACTTAAACATTCGCATTTATAATATTAGCAAGAAGTTAGATGAATACACGTCTTGCTAGACAGAAGGACAATTGACTACGTTCATTATTAAACAAATAGCTGTTATGTTTACAGTTCGTTTTCAATGTTGTGACAAATAGAACTATCAGAGGTAACTTTCTGTGTGGGGATATCCACATTCCACACATACAGTTACCATAGCTGCTACGTAAGGACTGTTTTCTATTCGGCAGACAAACACACGTGAGGTAATCAGTTATCATCAATGATCCGCCAACTTAATAAACCGATTAAAAGCCGATATACTCATTGAAGCCTTCTTCTGTAGTTCATACTTACGACGTGTTTACATTTTTAAATAAATATCCAAATCGAAGCAAATAATACCGACAATTGGATGCAAAGAAGTTGATAAATTACAGCGTTATCGCATCGATCATCGCACACAAATAACAACACAACACTAAAACATAAATTTCTTTTTGTTTACGCAATCCACAGCGCACCAGTTACTTTCCCGTCGCGTCGCATCGCCACTAAAATATTATAATTCACTTTCCTTCAAACTTGATTTTATAATGAATGCCGTGTCGATAGCTGAGCCTTGCTAAATGTACATTATTTTACATAAAACATTGCGTAATTGTTATGTTTTATGTTGAACAAGAGTTCGGAAAGTCGCGGAAAAATTAGTGAGAGTTAAACGTAAAGCAGAGAATGCGCGCGCGTCGCGACTGCCGAGTGCTGCGGGCTCTGTCCGTCCCGCGCCTACGTCACACTGGCTGACTGATGACTGATGACTATGACCGCAGCCCGCCTGTCTGCACTGCGTCGGCGGCGCCCCCGGCAGCCGCGCGCCGCGTGCCCCCGGAGAGCGCCTGCGAACGGAGCCGTACAGCAACACGCTACCCCGTGTGTACATCTGCTCTGAAGTGTCTCAAAACGGCAGCACATTCACAGAGCTACAAGTCAATATTAATTGATTTATCATAGGACAATCGACGACATTATTTTGTAACGTTTTTGTGAATTTTCCATTAAGATGCAGTTCAACAAGCAAATTCACTGCTCTGCTTCACCTGTGCGAACCGTGAGCTGATTTGATGTTGAAGGGTCGTATAGAATATACGAGTAAGTACGTCTGATCCAAGGCCGTCGATAGTTAACATTCACTGGTATAGTGAATCGTGAGCATAACACGCAGATATATGAAAGTGCGCACCAACGCAATTGGCGGCGCGAGGGGCCGCGAGGGGGCGCGAGGGGGCGCGTGCGTCGCAACGGCGGCGCTCGGGATGATATCGGGCGACGGGCGAGGGGGGGGGGGGGGAGGCAGATGGCGCTCACAGATCACAGATAACGTATGTACATCGTTTCACACCGGCGACGGACACGAAAACACCCGCTGTCACGCCTCACTGGGTTATTAACATGTTTTTACTTTTAATGAGTAAGTAAGGTGATTTCTACTCATAAAGTTATCGCGACTAGTTACTGTCAATTCGCGAGTTCGGTTTAGCTGGTATTTAATCTTATGCGATGGTTGCTGGGATTCTACATACATAATAAAAAATTAATATTTACGCTTTATAATTTTAACATAGATTGGAGTATAGATAGGTATGAGCAAATGAAAAGAAATTATGAGCTCAACAAGATAACCAATACTAACAATCGGATAGAGCAGTGCCGCCAGGAGAGCGGCGCCCTCTTTCGCCTCAAGATGGCCGCCAGCCAGAGCAGGCACAGCGCCATTAGCGGGTACCACATGGTGCGCCGACGCCCGCTGGCGACACACACACGTCACACGCGCATTCCGCCTGATATTCGCCGGTGGTGTTTGTGCGTTCTGCAACACGGTGTCCACTTCAGCACCGAGTTGTATGCGTGTACGTTAAAGAACACGGCGCGCGCGAGTAAGATGTGCGGCGACGCGTCTGCCCACCTCTGCCGCCGCCCAGCGCCGAGTAGCTGCGTGCCGCATGCCGCGTGTTGCGTACCGTGTGCCTCGCGTGCATTACAGAAAATTAAAAAAAAAGCATCGCAGGGACTGAAAACGGAACGGTAGATCAACAACATAACTATATTATTCAACCTAGCCTAACCACGCTCCCGCCGACGCCCATATATGATAATAATTAAACCCTCGTGAACAGGTAATATGATTTGTTTAACAAGTGATAGTGATTCCGATTTGAATAACGTTAAATAATATAACTATTTCTTCCAAATAACGTCGCAATGCAACAGGAAACAAACAACCAATACTCCTGCCCAGTTAAGTAATTTTAAATCTACTTAACGGGGCGAAATGATAGATACCTTTTGAACGAAAACAGTTACTGGCCATTCATAATTTTGAATACTGGACAGTTGTCATTGAATGGTGGAATGATGCGCTTTGTTATTATCTAATTAATTGGATAATTTTTGTCAACGTTTGCAATTTGATTAGAATGTGTTGTGCATTATTCATTTATGATGGAGGTCAACTAAAGATGGTGTTTCTGATGTTACGCGATTGTTATTTATTATCTCCAATTAAAAAAAAATATCTTTTTATGTATAACTCTCATCTTATTTTGTAACCATGTATTTTAAATTCCGCAAGACAATCGTTAAAAGAAGACGCTGCCTCCTGAAACACAGTTATTACTAGCTCAGGAGACAGAGTCCCACTAACTGTACTAAACAGTTTTAGATCAACAAAGATTTTTTTTTTATTATCTCCGACATGCGCACGCTCACAATGTAAGATGATAATCGTGTATATGATCTGCCTACGGAATTAATTCTGCAAACCGCTCGTCGCTCCGACATACTTAATCCAAAAACTATACATATGAATCTATCGATTGCAATTTCTACGAGCGTAAAAATCGGATATCGAAATTATTCCTACCCTACGTTAGCTTTTAAACTATTTTGATACATTTTGCATTCTTAAAAGTTACTTTTAGTCTGTGCTATTAAAACTATTTAACTTTATTTAAAACAACAATATTGTAAGGAAAATATCAGGAAACGGAAGGAATAGTGGGGGTAGTTTTGTGAAAGACTTGGCAAGGAGTTGTTCAGGCCCTCAGTCGCTAACAAGCTTAGTATTTTTCTAGTGGCGACGCCACGGAACGTTCATATCTATAAATAGTTGCCTTGGAGTTGAGTTTGGTTGTTTTAAATTAATTTACAAGTATTATTAATATGGCCGTCCGTCTATATTAAAAATCATTTGTGTCGAATTATCTAACACTTATTTTATCCTTGTTGTTTAATCCTTAAACAGACAAAAATTGCGGGTCACGTGATTTTTTTTAGTTACTTTTAAGTTAGTTATGGTTACACACTTTCATTTTATTTTCATCGACACTCAAAACTTTATACCATTTGGAAGTGGAAGTTATATTATATTAATTCCATTTGGAAAATACATGTTTTGGGTCCATATCCCCTATAACGTATACATATGTACAAATAATCTTATTTAGATATTATGTTCGCATAGTCAGCTTTTCCCTTATTTTTTGAATAAAATAAAGAAATAAAAACATGCATTCAACGTCACCTACATTAATCCTATAAACTAAATGCAAAAATCTAAATCGGAAACTGGACGGCGCGACGCGGCATCCATATTTAAGGACACGGCCCACGAAGGCCGACGAGACACAACGCGCCCCAGCCATCCGCGGGGTGCTCCCCTAACATTGTATGCGTGCAAACAACTCAAATAGATTATCCAAGAGCGCCTTAAGGATTGATCATTTCAACGTTGCCTCATATACGAAGGTAGAGGTAACGTTATTGAAGACGAGATATACCCACTGCTACCACCATCTATCGGCCGCACGCAGCACCGCGCCGCCGCGCCGCATCGCACTGCCAGCGACTGCCGCCTGAGCCGTGCTAAGCGAGACAGATTCACCAATCCAACACAAGGTGGCGCCTGACACGACATAGTATTGTTTACGGAAGCATAGTATTACATTGTGTGTTTTTTGCAATCCAATGCAACATCATGTCCGCTGCAGATAGTCCACTCCACGTAACCATACGTACTATGTAACGTGTATGCAACACCATCATCAACATTATTGAATACCGTAAAATGTAAAGAGCTTAGGTAAAAAGTGCGGTCGTACGGCACGCTCTAGTTGCCCGCGAGCTGCCGCACCGCACGCCGCCTCTTTTAACTTAGTCCAATTAATATTTCAAACTAGCTGTTGCCCGCGACTTCGTCTGCGTGGTTTTAGAAAACATATGAACTATATAAATAACAAAAAGCTACGTATCCCCTGGGAACTGGACATTTGTCATGGATAAACCTTATTTCATGAGTACTCCAGACTTTGTTTTATATCTGTGCCAAATTTCAATAACATATATTGAACCGTTGCAGAATGATCGAGTACACATTAAAAAAGTAAATTAATGAATCCCACGGGAACCGTAACTATTCCCGGGATAAAAAGTAGCCTGTTTTCTTCCCGATTATGCTCTAAACCTGTGCCAAATTTCATGGAGATCCGTTCAGCCGTTTAGACTACAAACGCTAACAAACATCCATCCATTTATAATATTAGTAATTAGCTATAACAAATTTTCCTATAATTCTTTTTTAAATAAAAGCCCTTACGTCACGCTTTTGGCTGTATTATATTTTTACGCCATTAAACTTTAAACCCTAATGTGGGAAAGAGACCATAAGTTGCTGCCAAAATCAAGGAAGCAAGATTGCCAAGGTTGGTCATGTCATGTCAATTTGACATTTGCTATTGATAATTAGACACATGTAAATAACAAAATAAAATTTCATAATTTCATGAGGATGAAGCCGCACGGGACCAGCTAGTTTTTAATAAAGTGAAAAAGTTTTGAAATAAAGTGAAGTATGTAAAGTAGATACGGAACGGGCTGTGGTGCCCTTACATAGATAAGAATAAAACATACTGTTGACCCAAAACATTAAAATGTGAATACGCACCTACTTTATATGATTTTTCAAAATCTTGTGTTAAAATTAGACACAGCCGCCTAGCAGCGCGGCGGTAGGGTAGCAGCGGCAGGTGGTGGCGGCGGTGGCGGCGGTGGTGGCAGCGGGGCCTCCGTCGCGCCGCGTTGAACAAGTAGTGTGCACAATTAAGTACGCGCGGGAAAAGATTAGAGTCACTATGCCGAAGTCATTTTAAATTCTCAAAACAATTTAAGTAAAAAAATAAAAAAAATTATTCATAAAAATTATCATTTATTTATGACGCGGTTTTTTGCAGTAATTAACTCTAGTACGTAATTGGGTTGATGAAACTCCAATGATTCGACTAAACCTTTCACCGCTTTACACTAAGACATGCTTAATGTTGAAACCAGGCAGGTTTTCGTTTTTTTTATCATACGATGGCAAACGGCCACCTGGAACCGAGGAAAAGGCGAAGCGACCGCTGCCTACAGACATCCGCAATTGTTCAGAAAGAAGATAATTTATCTTCTTATGGGTACCGTCCTCCGTCCAATCCGATTCCACCTTTTCCTTGTAAGAAAGTGGTTGAAAGACAAAGGGACTAAAATTAAGCCTCCGTCATGCGTACTTCACTACTGTCATCTGTGTGGTCTTGGTGTTGCACCGGGCGAGTCGGCTCTACAGTGCGAAAATGTTAAAGCGGGCTATACCACAGTTTGTAAAGTGAAGACATCAAAGTTTGACGCAAGCAAGCCACTAGCTGTTACGCATAACAATCCGTTCACATAAGTAATACTAGTAGTACTACCTAGAGGGCTGCTTCTTCGTCATCACGCAAACGTTCGAAGCGCACACGCAATCCCACGTTACATCGACGTCGCATCGGCTCGGCGCTAACACGCCAAACTCTTAAGAAATACCTATTATGTCATTATTTAAAAAACAAATGAAATGATGTTGAAAGCATCGTAAGGGCGATGTGTCCATCCACAACTTTCCTTTTAACAGTAGTTTGCCATCCAATCCTGTCTCCGGCACTTACAGAGCTGGTGAGCCGGCGGAGGAGGCAAAGTAACTTATCCCTTCTACTTTGTCAGTTTTTCGAGCTTATCCCCATCTATCCCGACTTTATGTCAGAACACTATTTATATAAAGAGAAACTGTTTAAATGCGGCCCCCTGATGAAGGTCATTTAGGTAGAAGCAATCATGGACGATGGAGAAATGTAACAATAAGAGAAAAAAACAAAAGAAGGTAAATGACGTCTTCGAAGAAATTAAAAAACTAAAGTGGAATTGGATAGGACACATTATTAGGACAAATAAAGGAAAATGGACAAAAGACATCATGGATTGGTACCCCAGAGAAGGAAAGAGACAAAGAGGACGACAAATAAAAAGATAAGGAAGACGACCTACCGAAGGGATGGAGACGATTAGCGCGCGATAGAGAGACGTGGAAGAAACTAGGGGAGGCCTATGTCAAAGGACAACCTGACACGCAATTGGATGCTAGAAAATGAAAATGTACATACATACTTTATTTAAAAAAAATGCTTTTTATATTTAACTTTAACTATTTATATTGTTATTAATAAGTTGCAAATATTGTAAATTGTCAGCGAATAGAGGCTTTATCTATCTATCTAATGACGGATTACTAATATTAAGTAGTAGAAAGATACTTATGATCGCGCAATAAAAGTTTTAACGAAGTACACGAACAGCAACTTTCCTAACTTCACGTAGCTTTGAGCAACTTTATGAACACCACAGTCTTGTTTGCGATCAGAAGAAAGATCGTACTCTAAGAAAAACGGTTCAAGAGCCATTTTAGTACTCGGCTGGATGTCAGTATGGTATTAAAAAGTCGGGCAAAAAGAATATGGTTCAAGAACTACTTACCGGTATTTGTTTGTAATAATCCGTTAGAAAACAACACGAACTCACATCACCAGAAAATTATCACATCGAAAATGTCTTAACTTATCTCGGGGATTAAAGGACTTAAAAAAAAGTTTTTTTTTTTGTCGTAGTAAGACGTTTTAATGCACCCTGCAACGTGCAACTCGCAACATGTTGTTCGCCGCGGCGTGGTTGGTGCTAGTCGCGCGGTGGCAGGCGGCGCGTGCAGGTTCCGGCGCGCGAGTGCCCGCCGCCCGCCGCACGCCGGCCGCCGCCCGCCGCCCGCCGCCCGCGCCCGCAGACCGCGTCGCGTGCGCGCTCTGCTTGTGTATTACGTAGCGCGACGACGAGTTATTACCGTAATATTAGCACGGCGCATCACGTTTTGTAGTTAAACCTCAGATACATATAGCCATTACAGCGCGAGTTGTAAACAAAACTATTGAAAACTTTGAATCCGAACGGAAAATGAAATGTTTCATTACTTTTTTTATCCATAAGACATTACAGTCTCTTGGACGATAATCGACGACGTTGATGTATGTCATTCTATAATGTAAACAAAATCTGCGACTTCATTGCGTGTTACCTACTCCGATAATGACTATCCGTATTCCTCTAAGAATGAACGAGAATGTTCCATTAAGAAAGTGTAGTCAACACAAGACAACATCAGCTCTGTTATTACTAGAAATCTAAGCAGCCAACAAAATAATGTCTCTAGACGAGTTTTTGTAATCGTATTGCACTGGTCGACGCGCCGGTAGCGAGTCTGCCTGCCCGCGAAAGTGGCCCTGCCTTCCGCTGTGCAAATACTCTAGGAAAGATGTGTACGACTGAGTGAAACGTAGCATGAAATGAAAGGTTTATGATAGGTACACAACTACGGTAACACACTATTATTTCTAACGAACATAACAGTGCGTGCAGTGTGCGCAGGATCCTTCGGTAATCCGCACGAGCACACGACGAACACGCGACGAACACGAAAAGATAAGTTGATAAACAGAGGAAACAGAACGATAACGAGGAAGAATGGAAGTTATATTAAATGCGCAGTAACAGCTCGCTCCTCGTCCACGCTTGCACGGACCATGAAGCGAAAGGCAGAATGATATATTTATTTCATGTTACATTTCACCATTCTGTACACGCCTCAATAAACTACTGTCCTTTTTGAATACAAGTAGCACTGCATAAACCTGTAAGTCGCTGCCTAATGTTTGGTGTGACAGATTATTAGGGACTATCCAGGATATTCTCATATTCATATAGTAAGAAGAAGTGTATAGGCACTCACATTTATAAAGCCCCCAAATAAGGGCTCATATTTTGGGTTGAGGATCATGACTGGATACCGTACAAAATAACCGAAAAAACGTAGCGTAGATCTTAATATTACGCAGTTATATTTAATTGTAAAAAAGAGAGTGAGGTGATGTTGCGACGCAGTTATACGTTATGTCTGTTTGTGTGACGGCGGTGCTCTGCCGGCGTTGGCTGACTGGATGAGGCGCGAGCGCCCACCGCTTCCCCGAGCTCTGCAGTGACCCACTGGGATTGCGTCGCGTCGTTAACCTCGGTGCAATGTTTTGAAAAAGATTCATAACAAGAGATGCATTAACACGATGCAAATTTAAAAACAAACACAACACAATGGTGATTGTTCATTGAAGTAGGAATTCGTAAAACATCCACAGCGGCGATTCATTACAATGGAAAGTTAGACAATTTGCCCTTTCGCATGCTCCCTTATTTTATATTTAGATAACACATAGAGCATGTTTACTTAAGTCAATGGACGTTTGTGTTATCAAATTGTTATATTAAAAAAAAACAAGTAATTATGTTTTTTTTTTCATATTCAGTTAAGTATATATGTCAACTATGTGTGTAGTACGAATGCAAACCAAAAACGAAACCGGTTTCGAATGATCCTTTATTTATTTTTTATTTACTAAATAATAAAAAGGTTTAAACTAAACGACCGAACTCTTACCAATCGGCTAGATCCTCTGGCCTTACGGAGGGACGTCAGTTCCCGCTGCATTTTTTACCGCATGTGCCACGGGGAGTGTTCCGAGGAGTTGTCTGGAACGATTTCTGCCGCCGAGTTTCATCATCCGACTCTCTCTCACCATCTCGATGGCTGGCATTCCACAACCGTGCGGTTTTCGCGGAACTTTCTACCCCGCACAGCCGCGTTGTAGAACGGTGTTTCCTCGGCGGTATTTCCAAACCAATACGAATTAGGGTCCTTCAAGAAGCGAGCCTATCACTTCCTCAAAGACCGGCAACGCATCTGTAGTTCCTCTGGTGTTGCGGTATCCATGGGCGTCGTCGACCACCTCGGTGTTCTTGCCGCACATTTGCCCCCTTTTATGATAAAAAAAGGTTAATCTCGAAATAATAGGAATAACGTAACCACTCATAACACGTTTTTTTTTTTCGAGTTTCGATTTTTCGTTTTATGAGTTTTCGATAAGCGATATGCGCTTGGGGTAGGCGCCGAGCCCCTCGGTAGGGACAAATAGTGAGATGGTGATGATGATATGCGCTATGCACTATGTGCATAACGCGATATGCTCTTTTCGAGTTTAGACTTTCGAGTTTTAGATAATCGGTATGCGTTATGCGCTATGCGCTATGCACTGTGCGCTATGCGCTATTTGCATAACGCGATACGCGATTTTCGAGTTTCGTTTTTAAGATTTTCGTGTTTCTAGTTTTCGATAAGCGATATGCGCTATGCGCTATGCACCATGCGCTATGCGATAAGCGATACGCGATTTTCGATTTTCGATTTCCGAGTTTAGGGTTTTCGATAAACGATATGCGTTGTACGCTATTCGCTATGCACTATGCGCTATGCACTATGTGAAAAACGCGATACGCAATTTTCGATTTTCGAGTTTTTTCGATAAGCGATATGCGCTATGCACTATGCGCTATGCACTAAGCACTATGCGCTATGCGCTATTTGCATAACGCGATATGCGCTTTTC